GTCGTTTTTTTTTTTTTCTTGAGAAAAGTCTCACTCTGTTGCCCGGGCTAGAGTGCTGTGGTGTCAGCCTAGCTCACAGCAACCTCGAGCTCCTGGGCTCAAGCAATCCTTTTGCCTCAGCTCCCAAGTAGCTGGAACTATAGGCGTGTGTCACTATGCCCAGCTAATTTTTCTCTATATATTTTTAGTTGGCAATAATTTCTTTCTATTTTTAGTAGAGACGGGATCTCGTTCTTGATCAGGCTGGGTTTGAACTCCTGACCTTGAGCGATCCTCCCACCTTGGCCTCCCAGAGTGCTAGGATTACAGGTGTGAGCCATCATGCCTGGCCTTGATCAGCTTCTATATAAAGAAGTCCACTTACTCTCTTGGAGAAAGTGGCCACATACAGAGAGAAAACTCTGAAGGATGGACAGACCATGAAGGGATATGGAGAGAGGCTCAGCCAACCCCTGGACTGCACGTAAAAACTGGAGGAACAACAAGGAGATTAGAATCATGGAGATTAGAAGAGCAGTGAGGAAATTATTATTTGAGGCTAGAGAAGAATGCCCAATATTAAGTAGTGGGGAAAGATTTGGAAAAACTATCATGTGTAGGTATATAAAATGTACTTAAAGCATTTGTGGATCTGGTTAAGCAGATTTCCAGGCAGAAGTTTAAATGTGCCAATGGACTTCTTCTACCTATATATCATAAGGTATTGCAAAACTGATATAACTATAAAGGGAACTATTCCGTTTTCAAGTAGAATTTAGAGAAAATATTCCAACCAGGATTGCTGAGTTGGAAAATTAAGCATTTTCTCTTTCCCAGATTCTTCAGGTAGAAAAATGTTCTGAAAGTAAGAAAGAGCCCCAGGGAAAAGATCAAATCCAGGACATTGTCAATAAAACAGGGCCTTAAGGTAAAGATCAAATCAACAGTGTAGTTACAAGATTTAAATCAGTCCTCGTTTCTCCCCCTTTTAAATGCAAGTGTCTACTGAGGTTATCTTGTTTCTGCCTTCACATTGTATTATTGGGCATGGAGGCACAGATAGCTTGCATTTTTGCTTCATAGTCCCCATATCAAAAGGAGCTGCACTTATGAAACCTCATACACCATCTGTATGATCCCAATGCAGATCAAGAAATACTGGGCACAGAATATAATGTTACAACTTGTTGAGACTTTGGGAATCTTTGGAGGAGTTGACCATAGTTTGCATGTGAAATAAACGTGAAGTTTTGTGGCCAGAGGGCAGACTTGTGGTAGATTACCTGCAAGTATGGCCAATAACAATTTGTCGTGCATGTGCCACTTCTCTGACCAGGAGGTAGGTCTCTGTACCTATACTTGAATCTGCACTGGACTTGTGATTTGTTCTGACAAACTGGAATGGCAAAGGCTACCTTATTCGATATGGGTGATACTTGAAGCAAAAAATGCCAAGCTATCTGTGCCTCCATGGCCCAATAGTACAACTGTGAAGGCAGAAGACGAAGATAACTCGCCAGTAGGACACTTGCACTCTTACACAGGGGCTGGAGAACGAGGCACTGATTTAAAATGTCTTGTAACTACACTGGTGATTTGGTGATCTTTACCTTAAGGCCCTGTTTTATTGACAATGTCTTGGATTTGATCTTTTCCTGGGCTCTTTCTTACCTTTTCAGAACATTTTTGTCTCCCTGAAGAATCTGGGAAAGAGCAAAATGGCTTAATTTTCCAACTCAGGCAAGTCCTTGGTTGGACATATTTTCTCTAAATTTCTACTTGGAAACGGAATGGTTCGCCTTTATAGTTAGTATCAGTTTTGCAATCTATGAGTATATAGGGTAGAAGAAGTCCGATTGGCACATATTAACTGTTCTGGGCCTGGAAATCTGCTTAACTAATTAAACTTAATAAAAAAGAATATCTATGGATTAATATTTGGGGCAAATTCTAAAATGCATTTCTAGCAATGATCTCCACACTTTCTTCATGAATACAAAGCAATTTGCTCCTGTTTTTCTGGGAATAGAATGGATATAACTCCCTATTCAAAACATTATTGCAGCTCCATATTAAAATATTTTTACTTAAATAATTAGCATTTTTGCTTATCCATAAAGAACCCACATGAGACAGAAAAATAACGTTTTTCCCAGATGGTCTTTTTTACATTAGTATTACTAACCCAGACATCAAAAACAAACAATAAAGTGTTGAAATATGTAATCTGGGCCAAAGCAGCAGAGGCTTGAACTTCCGAGGGCTTTGCAATTTTAAGAGAACAGCTGGGTGAGCACGTACAGTTAGTCCAGCGATGACCCTCACCTCTGTTGTGTTTCCCTCTGTACAGTCACTATGAGTACGATTTCCTTCTTTTGGAAGTGGAAGCATGTTTATAACCATTCTTGAACTTGGGAAAGGTGTAGACATTCATGTATCTGTTATAGAGAAGGAAAAACCATTTTTAATATTTATGGTGGAATCAGTTGTTTTTGTTTTCCTGATATCCATTTGCCTTTTTTTTTTCCTGGTAAAATAACCTATATTTTTCCTGGGGAACAACCTCTTTTCCATTCTTGCCCACCTGGGACTGACAGCTCCAGAGCTGGGCCTGTGATCCAGGCTGGCCAATGGGACAATCAAATTACTCTGGCCACTGTCTTTGGGTCAAGGAGGGCACATGCTCCACATTGGTCCAAAGAAACTAAACCTGCAGACTTACATAGAACTATTGGGAAAAAAGAAAAATTATTTTGAGAAGGAACTGCTGAATCACTACATACAGATTACATCACAGAGGAAAGTAGAGCTGAGCTGTAGCAGGGCGTGGGGAGGGTGGAAGGGTGAGAGAGGAAGGGAGAGAGAGGTTGAAGAGAGAGGATGAAGGGAGGAGGAGGAGGAGATGGAGGGAGGGAAAAAGAAAAGAGCAAAAGAGAGAGAGAGGAGACTTGGACTTGGGTATTTCAATTACATGAACCTAAAATTCTTTCCATGCTTAAGCCAGTGAGTTGGGCTTTTCTGTCATTTGCACCCGAATAAGTTTGAAGACAAAATCAATGCAGGTGTATGTGATCATGTTAAAAAATGGGACAGTTTATCAGAAGTGAAGGCCGTCTGTGTGCCAGGCACTCTGCTGGTCCTGGGGGCATGCAAGGATCCGTGAGATAGGGCCTCTCTTACCGACCTTCTCCAAACATCGGATCTTCCTAGGATTTCCTCCAAACACTTGTACTTATTTCCACCCTCCCAGTGACAGTAAGCTTTATGGAATCTCTGTTTTTCTCCAAACAAGATACCTTTTTTACAAAGATTTTTGCAGGTAAGAGGAAAAGCTGGGGGAGAGAATCCTGATTGTGTATTGTTACTGTAAGGTAAACATATGTCTTAATGCCTAGAGAAATAGCTGGCACTTCAATAATTTTTTCTTCTTGGAGATGAAGGAGAAGAGCTATTATTTAAATGACAGCCTTAGGCAATAATCCTTGAAGAGGGAGGAACATCTAGGGCCAAAGACTGTTAACAAAGCTACCCAGCTGAAGTTGTGGTTACATATTCAATATAATGGAATAGCCAATAATCAGAAAAAAAATTAGATTACACTGCCAGGCACTGAACTAAACATAAATTGTGTATATATACATATTTTGGGGGGCAGCAGTGGGGGGCACATATTTTTAAATATTGCTGACTTATAAGTGAAGGGTTTATCTGCTTAAGAGTTTTCTTTTTTTTATTTTATTTTTTACACCTAAATTCACTGTATGCTTAAGAGTTTTCTTAACAATTTCAATAAGATCCCTTTGTCTACCAATCATTCACACACACACACACACACACACACACACACACACACACACACACAAACATATGCCATATCACTCAAAAGAACAGTTATCCTCATGCTCCATTTAGTATAAATTTCAGATCATAAAATTATAATTATATATTCTAATTTATAAATTTTATCATTTATAAGATTACAAATTTTAAAGCCACTCAAAGCCACTGTAGACCATGATGCAAATATTTTAAAAGAACAGGTTATCTGTTTTTGCTAAAGACCTTCTAAGGGCAGAGGAAATGAACTCCCATCCCCTGGTTATGGGGCTGGCAACAGTTTCTAAATGCAGAACATCCCTTTCAAATGTCAGATTTTATCTTTAAAAATTAATGTGACATTTGCATTTTACTCCATAGTATATTTATGTTTTCTTGAATATGAAAAATGATTAAAATCATTCATTATTGAGTAAAGCTGACTGACCGTGTTTACTGAGCATCTTCTGGTTTTCCATCACACATATATTTATACAAGTTTGAGAAATATGACTTATAACGACAGGAGCTTAAACTTTGATGTAGGTAATCTTCTTAGAGTTTAACAGTCTTGGTATTTTCTGTGGCTATTCGATCTTTCTCAAACATAAAGAGAGGGAATAAAGTTAGGCAACGTGGTAAATAAAGTTTACCAAAAAATTTAGGGAACTCCATTCATTGCCTCCCACCTGGCAGGTGACAAAGTGCATGTCGTGGCTCCTGGGGTTCTGGTCTCACCCTCATGGCTTAGGAACATTGAGACATACAGGAAATCAGCATGTGCCCATTAAGCAGTCTAAGAAATAGAATTATAAAAAGTAAAATAATAAACAGAATAATACGTGTGTGTGTGTGAGAGAGAGAATTATAAGTTGAAACGCATAAAATTTTCAATATTTGACCATTTTGGGCAATACCTATGATTTATCCTAATATTTCTCCAAAGCTTGTTAACCAAAAGTGTGCATAGCACTGATTTTTAAGTGAAATGTTACCACTGTAGATCATACTAAGAATGGTATTTTCATACTGTTTTTAAAAAATGCACCCAGAATGTGGAAATAGAAAGTAACAGTAGATAGTGCTGAAAACAATCAGAATATTTTATTTTTAGTAGCCTAAGGGTTTGAATTGTGATCAAGGTTCATAGTCAGAATCCTTTCAGACAATTTTGGGAAATGATCCTTGTGGTTGCTTCTTGATCCAGCAGGTGTTAAGAAAGAAAACATCAGGACCAGAAGAATAAGCCTTGAGCACTGCACAAAAACACTTGGAAAGATGAAGTCCCCTGTGCTCTTCATGGCCATAAGCAGAGTGCATTTATTCAACCATTTTATCAGAGTGAGATGGAGAGAAAGCAGATGTTGCTTTATTCTTCCTCTGTTTTCATCAGTTGCCAGATAATACTCTTTGCAGCCATATGATCAATTTCTCTTCGCCATTTCCCTTAGTAGGTAGCTTAGCGCCCACATCAGACTTTTCAGACTCTTATATTTCAGCCTAGATCCATTCTTTCCTAACACCCGTTTAAAGTCCAGCTCTCATCTCAAATCTTAAGTCTCACATAGGAGTGAACAAACTTGATGGAACCACACAGAGACGGAGAAAGTAACCAAACTCAATAGCATCAACATGTGAAGAGTGTAGTATGACACACGCATTAAATTGCTTAAGTTAGGGTAGACGAGCCCTACATGCTTCTTTAGATTTTAAATTCCTAGGTCTAGATCTGGATTAGGTGGAGAAGAGAAATGGAAGCTCAGAAGTGAGATATTGGGTAATCAAGGAGGAAAGCAGAGAGTGTTTCTAAGCATGTTCGTATTTCTGCCTATAGCTTGGCACACCTTGGAGTTTGGATTTGCCACCTTCATTCTGCCTTGGATTTTATGACTTGAAGCTTCAACTGAGAAGGCAGGGAGAGAAAAACAAAACAACCAACCCAACTTCAGAAGAAAATATGAGCAACTAGTTAACAAAATGCTTTCCGATGGAAAGTTAACTCTCAAGTTATCAAGAAATTGTTCTACATCAAAAATTTGATACAGGCTGGACACGGTGACTCACGCCTGTAATCCTAGCACTCTTGGGAGGCTGAGGCGGGCAGATGGCTCAAGGTCAGGAGTTCAAAACCAGCCTGAGCAAGAGTGAGAAAAAATTAGCGGGGCATGGTGGCACATGCCTGTAGTCCCAGCTACTCAGGAGGCTGAGACAGAAGGATCACTTGAGCCCAGGAGTTTGAGGTTGCTGTGAGCGAGGCTGGTGCCATGGCACTCTAGCCTGGGCAAAAAGTAAGACTCTGTCTCAAAAAAAAAAAAAAAAAGAAAGAAAGAAAGAAAAGAAAGTCAATACAAATGGAAAACGTTTCCTATTTAAAAAATTTTAATATACACAGAAATTGAGACAATAGTTAAAAAAAAACCCACCTACATTCAAATATCAAAATGTTTCCATTCTTGCTTTATATCTCCCTTTTGTTGTTATTGAGGCTTTTAAATCTCCCTATGTCATTGTACTCCTATCTATACTTCAGTTTGCATCTCTTAAAAATTAAGAAAAATTCTTTTATAACTACCATACCACTTGGGCAAAATTTTAAATGATAATTTATTACTAAAAGAAAAGAAAATGTGTACTTACTGTTTATACTCTGCTTCATTGCAAAAACATATATAATAGGAGAAAAAGAGATAAAACTAAAGGAAAATAGGATAAAGTAGTTAAATGAAGCCAGGAATAAAAGTGTCGAAGATCAATGTGTATGGAAGGTCCTTTTCTAACTTAAACCCAACCCTTTGCTCCACCAAAGCAGGAGGGAAACCCTGGAGACACAGAACTCAGTGTCTATAAAGGAGAACCGGCACCATTTTTCTGGAGAGCATGGCTTTTCCTGTCTCGGAGGTGTGTGAGGAATTTCTCCTAGATATCTTCATGAAGAAGACAGTGTGAGATTTATTGGACAATATAGTTTATAAAATCCCCACAATAAACACAAAAGAGATTTTTGTGCTGCTCCTTATTAAAGTGTCCTGGTTGCAAGCTAGGGCATAATGCTGAAGTCCAGCTGAGTAAAAGTCATCCTACAAGGGGCCAGAGATGTGTCATGTCCGCCTGGTGGCCGCCATCCCGAGGTACAGCATAAAGCCCATTCATTTCAAATAAGCTTTTAATCTCTCTCTCAGACTCCCAGCGTCCCAATTTCCCCATAAATAATACAGCCCTAATTTTAAAAACTCAAATCCAGCTGTTACTACTTTTAAGTGCTGTTATCCATCGCAAGTCAGTGTGACACCAAATGTATCTTCCACATTCATTCATCATTCGTGAATTTGGCCCAGCCACTGGATTTTTTCCCCCTGTTGTTAAGAAGGGTTGCAAATGCCAAAAGCAATCAATCTATGAAGCAAATCAATGTGAACAGCTATCAGGGGGAAGAGCTAACCCTGCAGCTATCTGCTATTTTTTTTTTTTTTTGAAATAGCAGCAGAGCTTGTCTTTGGATCTAATGACTGGAATACCCGTGCACTAAAGGGGCTGTTTCCCTTCAGCTTTTAAAAAATTCTCTTACTCCAGGCTAGCTTTGCAGATAGTTTCCAAGCTGCAGGGACAGCTTGAGTCTGGAGGCAGTACCCCTGCTCCGTCAGCCGCGGGGACCAGGTGGTTCCAGGGTACCTTCGGCTCGCTCTCACCTCCATGCTGTTGCTGCATTGATCCTCAATAAGCACTCTGGCTCCCCGACATTCTGCTACCCACCATCAATATCTCTGCGGAGGGTGCAAAACGCAATTTCTTTGTGTCCTTGGTGCGTGTAACATAGCTCATCATGCTTTTAAAGATTTCCTCCGAGCTTCTGCTAACAGCCTGTGCTTGCTTCCTGCAGTTCTGTTCATCACACGGCTAAATAAACCTGTTTGATGTTGCCATCTCTGAGGAGTCCAAGCAGAAAACACTTGGAATCATATATTTAGGTGAGCCAACATCAAGGAACAATGAGGAAAAACAACTCAATAAGTAGGGAGAAATTTTGAATGCACAAATATTTTCTTATCAAACTAAAAGAAAGAAAGAAGGAAAGAAAACAAAAATATTTTTGGAAATTTGAACATACCCACAGTGGTAAAATATGTCCTGCTTCCACATTGCATATTTTTTCTGGGTATAACATTCCTATTTTAAAATTGTAGCAACAGATCCAAGAAACAAATGTCTTTAAAAATTTCATTTCATGGAAGTGTCACTGTATGCATTTAAACTTTTTTTCCTACTGAAAATTATTGCAAACAGCATGAAAGATGTCAATACGGGAAACAGAATAAAAGTAATGGACAGTCTTAAAAACACAGAGGAATAAAAATGTTCATGAAATACTATGCTCAAATGACTAATGTTAATATTTAGGTAAAATTATTCCCTGTAGGCAAGAAAGTAAACAAGATGCCTACACCCTAAAACATAAAATAATAGTAGCAGGGGAAATAAAGTTAGAAAAGTCAGTAATATTTCTAAATCATTTTAGAAAGTTGGCAGAGAGAATATCCAACAGTAAAATAAAATTTGTTAGTATTTCATAGGAACAGAAAATTTCAGATTACTGATTTTTTTTTCAGTATACTAAAAAAATTATCTTTGTTAGTTTGTTGTTGTCTTGGGCCTGTAACATCCATATTATTATTTATAGTTCCTTTTTCACTTTGCAGAGGTCTTAATTCTCATTCTGTCACTCTCCCTGACATTTATTCATCCAAACTTACCTTTAAAGTATATCTATAATTAAATTTTCTTTCTTTCTTTCTTTCTTTCTTTCTTTCTTTCTTTCTTTCTTTCTTTCTTTCTTTCTTTCTTTCATTTCAGCATATTATGGGGGTCCAAATGTTAAGGTTACATATATTGCCCATTTCCCCCCTCCCACCCGCCCGACACCCGATAAATGTTATTCCCATATGTCCACTTAAGCGTTGATTTGTTAATACCAATTTGCTGGTGAGTACATTTGGTGCTTGTTTTTCCATTTCTGAGATACATCACTTAGTAGAATGGGTTCCAGATTTATCCAGGAAAATACAAGAGGTGCTATATCACCATTGTTTCTTAAAGCTGAATAGTACTCCATGGTATACATATACCTCATTTTATTAATCCACTCATGTATTGATGGGCACCTGGGTTGTTTCTACACCTTTGTGATTGTGAACTGTGCTGCTATAAACATGTTGATCAGTGTCTTTTTTGTAGAGTGTCATTGGATCTTTTTGGTAAGTCCAGTAGTGAAATTGCAGTCAAGATGGTAGACGAGCGTCGGACTGAGAGGTCCCAATCACAAAGTTGAGACGATTTTTCCCCAACAGCAGGTGTAGGAGTTGTTCCTATTCTCTCGCATCCAAGCCAGCAGTATGTTGGAAGCGTGTTTTGAGAAAGGCGCGCGATTCTGAGTAAGGATATCTCATTGTGTTTTGATTTGATTTCCTGAGAAGAGGTTGACATTTTCAGTAGGTTTTGGCCATTATTCTAACTTCTTTTGAAAAGTTCTGTTCATGTCCTTTCCTCATTTTTTATGGTTGTTTGATTTTCTGGCTGTTTTCCTGACTTCTAAATAAATTCTATTATCAGCCCTTTATCAGATGTGTATCTTGTGAAATTTTCTCCCGTTCTGTGTGGTTGTTCGTTTGCTTCTTGCAGTTTCTTTGGTGTGCAGAAGCTTTTAATTTGATAGGTCCCATTATTTATTTTGTTGCTTGCTGTGGATTGCCTTTGGGCTTCTTCATAATCTTTGGCCTAGGCAATCTAGAAGGTATTCCAAAC